GCATATATATATATATATATATATATATATATATATATATACTATTATGTATATCATGATTAAAGATCTCGTTTTATTTATATAAATGGAAGAAAAGAAACAACGATAGCCATATTTTTCAAATTTTGGCAAGTGTCCAATGTGTCAAATATGGAAAGGATTGATTTTTTTTAGCAGCAATGTTGACACTCTCAAACATGGACAGAACACTTGAAAAATGTCTTGCAGACCTTTTGGCAATCGGCATCTGTATTGCATGAGATTGGCATTGCAGCACCCTGTGCTTCAGTTTTCTCCAAAGTTGACAGCACTACACCTGCATACATTTCATTCATTACTAGTCTTACATACATATAGCTTCTTGTTCTATATAACGTATAACAATATATATATACGCAGATTTAAACTGGAGAAACATACCACAAAAATGCATGTCTTCCTTAATATATTAATGACAATAACATATTTTCTCTGAATATATCATTCATGTATATATATATATATATATATATATATATATATATATATATATATAAGAGACGTACATGATGTGAGGAGAAGAGCCATGAAAAATGTGAGCTTGAAAGGAGTCTCCATTCTGCTATGTTGTGTTTGGACAAAAGAAGCTGCTTAGAACAAGAATGCTCGTGATTTACAGCAATATGTAGTTACAACCCTAGCCAGGAGAGTGGGTTTCTATAAGGGTGAGAAGGGTCATAATAAATTTGATACCTTGTATTTTCATATTTATGTATACTTATAAATAGAATATTTTTAATTAGGTATCTTTTAAGAAGGTATAGATTAAATATTAACTTTAATTGCTCATGATACCATATATTTAGTCATTTATAGATTTCCATTAATGTGGTTTTACTATATTAAGGAAGCAAATTTAAGTTATTAAAAGATGTATTGTAACTTTCATGTCAATTCAGACTAAAAAATTAATTTCACTAAATTCATGATCTTTTTCTCTAAAAAATATGAATAAAGTGGTAGCTAAAAGACTGAATGAAATCAATACAAGTCTATTCACGTTTGATTGATGATGATGATGATATTCTAGATGGTTCTTTGATACATTTATCGACCATTAAAATATTTGTCAATCAGTCATCGATACTGTCAATAAATGATTTTTAAGATGACAGAATTTGCACATCTTTATGGTTGGGAGGATCGTATCAGTAAAGCCCATTAAATAAAAAATTCTTTCATATCACATAGTGTCAAAAATTAGTGCAACTTATAGATCATTCTTGCTGAAGAGTTATTGGCAAAGTCAAAAGTTTATCTTTTTAGCTTTTCATTTATTTACGAATTAGTTTATATTTATCTTTCTTTAAGGGATTGTTGAGATAATGCAGTAACATGTTGATTTCGTTGGGATAATGACAATAGCACATTGGTGCTCCTAAAACAAACTATTGAGATTTTTTAGGAATACTTTCAGTATTTAAATCTTTCTCTGTTAATATTTTAAAGTGAGATGTTCAAGTTGTTCATTGAATAATAAAACTCTCTGCTCTATTTTTCCCTTCTGATATATTTTCAATTCCTGAGTTTTTGTTACATTGTATCAAAGCTTGGTTTTATTCTTATCAAGTGTTGTTGAGTTCTGGTTTTTCCAGGTCGCCTGCCAAGTGTTTAGTTTTATTACTACTCAATGAATATGAATAACAGAAGCAATGTCTCTCAAGCCTCTATAGAAAAGCTTGTTGGAAATAATTATAGTTACTGAAAATTATGCATGGATGCTTATTTACAAGGATAGGATTCGTGGGATCTTATCTCTGGTGATGAAGCACAATTGTAACGACCCCAAAAATTTCAAAGGAAATAAATTATGAATTAAATGCGGAAGCGGAATAAATAGTTAAGATTTACATTCCTTACACAATAACTTAAAGTACCAAATAGTGTTAGGAAAATTACTCTTTTGGAAGAAATACAAAAAAAAAAAAAGAAAATAAACGGAAATTAAATAAAACTAGCATCTTATTCGCAACCCTCTTGTGGATCGGGCTCTGGATCCTAATTCTCTTAATCTGAAATAGTAAAATAAGGAATGAACTACATTATTCCAGTAAAAAATATCACGTTACTCACCGACACAGAAATGAAAGTTGATAGAAAATCAAAACAACTAATGGTGCTCTCAATTAAACAAATTCATTTATTAACAATAAAACAATTTGCCATTTACTTACCGTGGCGAGATTTACAAAAATAATTTATAAAAACAATAAAATTATACATATCATGATTTCATATGTAATCGGCAACATAACACATATTATACCTTCATATTCAAATAACTAAAACAATATGTGTCCCTTTTTATTAATCTGCTGGTATTCATGGGGGTTTATAGGGATGTCCCACTACGCGTAAACCATTTCCTTTAACATTCTTAATTAATGGGCTCTCCCCATACCTCGTCCGGTATGAGTACCAAATTACTAAACCTCAATATCCCGTCCGGTATGAAGGTGAAGCGGGCCCTCCCCATACCCCGTCCGATATGAGTGCCAAATTACCAAGTCTCGATACCCCGTCTGGTATGAGACAACATTCACGGTAGGGTTCTCTATATACTCAGTCCATCCACCATCTCTTAGGATATCCAGTAAGGCTGCCGTTTCACTCATTCACTTATTTACACAATTTTTCGTTTACTGTTAACCTCCATTTTTTTCAATTCAGCCGTAACCACATAAAACAAATAATACATGTATTCAAAGTAATAAAATCAATCAATAAGGTACTATCATGCATTTAAATTATAAAAACAATCAACAAAACAATAATAGTTAATTTTTGGTTCTGACTCCATTAGTAATCCGTAATTAATTATGAACATTTTTTAAATTATAATAAAATACTGTATTTATTATTTATTAGACTTCAATTCTATAACAGAAAATAAGGTGAGAGATTCTTATACAATTCAATGCTCGAAAAGTGAAACTTGTTGACTGCGCCTATCGGCAGTCCCTCGATTCCCTAAATTTTTCTTCAGAAATTAAAACGCGCTATAAGTACCTACAGATGTCCCAAAAAATCTAAAATCAGTCTCAAGACCCAAATTTGGCCAATTCTGGAATTCTAGCACGACAGCTCCACCGTGCTCCAGCGACACTGCCGCCGCTCACGGCGGTGGTCCGCCTCAGGTCAGCTGTTTTTGGCCGATGTTGCATCAACTCCTGCGAGAAAACACGTTAAGGGGCCTCAGTTGGCCCAAAAAATACAAAAAAACCGAAACTCACCGGCGGCGGGGCTCTCTGGTGCGACGGCTCCTCTGACTCACATTGCGGTTAGGTGCTTTGCTCCAGTTAACCTGTAGAAAAGGAAACGGTGATCAAAATGGTGGAAGAATTACGCCAAGAAGGGTCTCATCGGAGGTGTTTAGTGAAATTTTCTGTGGCGGCGTCGCCGAGCTTTGCCCACGATTTCTGACCAATCAACCAATCCTTTTGCTCTGATTTGGCCATGTGGTGTTTAAAATTGAATTCCGAGCAAAGGGAGAAATTTTTACCTCTTTTGGCAGTTGGAAGTAGCTCTAGTGCGGCAGTGGGTGGCGGCAGCTCCTTTCTGGTGGCTGGGTCTTTTTCTCCGACGAGGGTGTCTGGCAGTTAGGGTTAGGGTTTAGTGTGAAGAGAATTATTTATATTCGTCCCCATTTAATCTGAGTCGTCCATTATGTTTAATCTAGATCGTCCGATCGCGATTAAATAGAGAATGAATCAGGACCGTTCATCGCAATCTAATATGAACCGTCCAATCACGTTTAAATCTGACCGTCTGATCGTGTTTGGGGAGGAAACGCATCCAGGTCATCCGTGCGCGTGGGAATGGATCTGGGTCGTTCAATCGCAGGCATGCGGATCGCCCCCATGGCACCGCGTCAACGTCCATTGCCACGCGGTGCGTTC